TTCCCGATCCTGTGCCAGAGTCTGAGCTTCGGCAAAAGACAAATGGAGTCTGGAACACACTCCTTCCATATGTTTGCACCAGGTTAATCTTGGTCGTCCCCTGGGCCTTTTGCCGGTCGGATTTGCCAGGAACATTTGCTTAGCCTTCCTTTCTGGAGGCATTCACAACACATGCCCAAGCCATCGCAGCTGTCACTTCTCAATCTGGAGAAGCAAAGGCTGTATACCAACGCTCTTCCGGATGTCACTCTTCCGGACCATGTCGAGAAGCGTAAGGCCAGCGACTCGTTTACGAAAGCCCATCTCAACCGCTAGTACCCGGGATCTAAGTTTTTCAGTCATGGTCCACGGTTCGTGACCTTAGGTAGGTATGGCGATAAAGATCGACTTCAATATTGAGAGCTTAGTTTTTTCAGACTCGGCTCTGCTTTAGTCACAGTGCGTCGGGCTAGTTCACGCAGAACGCCACTGGCTACTCCAATTCGCCGGACGATCTCTTCCTCCAATTTTCCATCACTGGTAAATACAGTTCCCAGGTACTTGAATTTCACCTGCTCCACTGCCTCTCCGTTAATCTGAAGAGAGCAACGTGAAAGATAACGAGAAAGCACTAGCTTTTAGTTTTGGATGCATTCACACACGCCAGTCACGTCGCACTCGCGTGGGAACCTTTGCAAGGAGCGCTGGAGATCACTTTCAGAAGATCATAATAAAACAAGCTAATCTGCAAACAGCAACCTTTTCGACTTCACATCTCCTATACCGATACCCTCATCGCCTTGGCAGCTCCAGACAGTTCTATCCATGTACAAAACAAACAGGATAGGGGCATGACGCAGCCTTGGCGGAGACCAATGCGAACGTTCAATGGTTTCGACTAAACGCCATTAACTCTGACACAGCACCTGCTATCAGAATACACTGATTGAATGGCCCCTACCAGCTGGCCATCAATCCCGTATGCACGAAGGCATGTCCACAGACTTTTGCGTGGAATCTGGTCATATGCTTTCTCTAGGTCCACAGAGCACACGTACACAGGCTCGGGGTACTCCCACGATTTCTCAACACTCTGGCGCAGGGCAAATATATGGTCCGAGGTGCTTCGACCGGGCCGGAAGCCGCACTGCTCTTCTTGGACACTGAGGTCAACTATTTGACGGCAATTCTTTTCTAACACCTTTCCGTAGACTTTACCTGGAAGGCACAATAACGTTATGCCCCTATAATTCGAGCATTCGTTGTGGTCTCCCTTCTTGAATACGGATACAATAACTGAAGTTTTCCAGTCTCCTGGTGCCTTTCCCGCAGTCATCGCAATTTCACAGACACGTCTTAGCCAGCACATGCCTTGTTCGCCTAATGCCTTGAGCGTTTCAGGGCGGATTTCGTCA